GTTTGACTCAGAAGCTTGAAATGGTCTTTGCTTCTCACATGTGGAATCCACACGAAATAGCCAAAATTATTAAGTATGGACTGTCTGATTTCCTTAAGTACTAAGTTTGACAGTTGATATCTCTGGCATTTCACTTTGACACTTCTTGTTTTATTTTTATTGTGAAGGTACATCCTCATTCTTTCAAACGCATGGTTTGGCTTGTGATTATCTTTCAGGTTTTTTTAGAGCAATTTTTGTGAAACCATGGAAAGTCAAAAAGTCGGGTTATTTTTGATTACGAGTTCCATCATGGAACCAATTCAGGGCAGACAGCTCGAAATATCAACGAAATGTTTGGGAAGGATGTGGCTAATGAACGCATAGTATGTCGATGGTTTGAGAAGTTCCACTCTGGCAATTGTAATCTTGAAAATGAGCCACGTGGGCGACTTGAGACCAAGGTGGACGATGATGAGCTGAAAGCTGTAGTGGAGGCGAATCCGTCTCAACCTACACGTGAATTGGTAGCAAGGTTTGATGTTACTATTCCAACAATATTGGATGATTTGGAAGAAATCGGCAAGGTAATGAAGCTGGATAGATGGGTTCATCATGAATTAAATGAGTATCAGGAGAGAAATCATCTTGAAGTTTGCCTTTCTTTGATGTCGTGACATAAAGGCTAACCATTTCTATACCGTATTGTGATGTGTGATGAAAAATGGACCCTTTTTGACAATTGCAAGCATTAGGCACAATGGTTGGACACGATGAAGTGCCGAAACACAGTCCAAAACAGAATATTCATCAAAAAAATCTAACGGTGTCTGTTGGTGGTCCAGCGCTGGTATTATCCACTACAGCTTCATGAAACCTGGTCAATCCATTACAGCAGATGTCTACTGCAACCAACTGTACGAAATGATGAGGATGCTTGTGATAGAGCAGCCCAGATTGGTAAATAGAGACAGGCCAATCCTCTTGCAAAAAACGCTTGACCACGTGTCGCACAAACAACGCTGCTCAAACTACCAAGGCTGGACTTGGAAACTCTCTGTCATCCACCGTATTCACCAGACATTGCACCAATTGACTACCACTTCTTCCAGGCTTTGGACCACTTCTTGCAGGAAAAACATTCAATTCTCAACACACTGTGGAAAACACCTTTCACGATCTCATGGCCACTTGCTCTCCAGGTTTCTTTGCTGCTGGCATAGGCAAGCTACCGTTAAGATGGCAAAACTGTGTCCATAGTTCAGGCACATACTTTGATTAATTGTACTGCTTCTTGTTTGAGATATAATAAACTAAACCTTTGATTTGAAAATGGACATTTCATATTTAATGACCTAATGTTTCTTATTCCTTTCTGCACAAGTAGAAGCTAGGTCAGGTTTGTTCATCAATCCATTTATCCTTCCATTGACTCATTCATTCATTGATTCATCCCATATTGCTTTAAACCATCCCCCAGGCAGCTATTCCTTGGCCAGCCCTGTCCTGGACACACAAACATGATCCCTGAAGGGACGTTCTGTCGAATGTGGGCAAGTGATCACTCGAGACAGAAGAGTACAGAGCAAAACGAGGTGGGAAGGTTGTTCCTGCCTGGGAGGAGGCTGTTAGCCAGTCTGCCGATGAGCAGGGTTGCGTCAGGAGGAGCTGGGAAGTCTGGCAGAGGAAATCGCCCCAGCAAGGGCAGAGAGGTGAGAAAGGGCAGGCCTGGCCTGGAGCAAAAGCGAGCCTTCCCCAGGACATTATGCTGAGTGAAATAACTAGTCACAAAAAGACAAATGCTGTAGGATCCAATTCTGTGAGGTTCTGAGAGTAGTCAGATTCACAGAGACAGAAAGTAGAGTGGTAGTTGCCAGGGACCTGGTGGGGGAAGTGGAAGGGGGCGTTGTTGTTTAACGGATATGGAGTCTCAGTTTTGCAAGATGAGAAGAGGTCTGGAGACCGGTTGTGCAACAGTGTAAATGCACTTAACGCTACCGAACTGCACATTTAAACGTGGTAAGGACAGTAAACTTTACGTTATGTATATTTTACCACAATTTTTTTTTTTAAACAAAAGGAACCATACACATACACCAAAAAAAGTAAGCCTTCCCCGAGACGGAGCGGGGGAGGGGAGACTAGAAATGGGAGGGGGTGGGGATGTCAGGCGGTGGAGGGCCCTAAAACCATGCTAAGGCCAACAGAGCCACCTCAGATCTTTTGCAGAAAGTTGGAGGGAGGGACAGAGAAAGGGAGGGGGGAGGAGGGAAGTGTTGAAGGGACTCAGGGTGAACAGATCGGGAAGATGTGATTGCGTGCATGGGCCCTGCTTGCAGGGGCATGGGGCTGGGGTGCAGTGCACAGAGGACGGCTCCAAGGCAGAAGCAACTCACTCCCATCTTGTAACATCTCTGGGGGGTGCTCCAAACATGCAAGGGAAGAGAGCTGCTCTTACTGAGTCACTAAGCTCCAGGACCTTAGAGCTGGCAGAAACAAACCATGGCCACCAGACCCAGGCTAGGTGGGCCACTCCCAGCCATTGAGACAAAGGTTTCCGGGTAGCCTCTGCCACCCACCCTCTCCCCAAAATGGCCATGCTGTGGCCTTTCCCAGTATGATTATAAAGTTCAGACCAACTGAAACGAGGGGGGACTTATCTACCCCACCCTCCTCATCATACAGACAGGGCACTGACACCCAGAGAGAAGGGACCTGGTAAACTTCACCTACAAGTCAGGTGACTGGAACTCTTTGCCTCAGTTTCTCCTTGAGGAACCTGAAGAAACTGAATTTTAATCGTTGCAGAGGAAGCCTGCCACATACATCAGGACCCTTAGCTGGGTACTTCTATAGTTTATATTCCCTAATATAATGCATTTCAGTCTCCGAGCCAGTCCCGGGACATGTTTAGTAGGAGAAAGTGTAGACTTAAAATCCTTGGGTTCAGATCTCAGCTCTTACATAGTAGCCATGTGATCTTGGGTGAGGTTCCTGACACTCTCTCAGCCTCACATTCTCATCTGTACAAGGGGAAATAATTACATCTACCTCACAGAGCCACGTAGAGTGCCTGGTATCCAGTAGCTTCTCAAAGAAGAGTATCATAGGTAATGATGATGATGAGGTTGAAAAATGATGAC